CTCTAAAATCTCTTGGTACACAGCTGCATTTACTCTGGACTTGATGAAACACAGTGGACCAACACCAGCAGCTGAAATGGCTCCCCAAACTATCGCTGACTGTGGGAACTTCACACTGGATTTCAAGCAACTTGGATTTTGCGCCTCTCCAGCCTTTCTCCAGACTCTGGCGCCTTGAATACCTGTGAACAGCCTGCTCTTTGAGAAATTTCTTTTTGTGTCTTACCCTCCTGATGGAGGGTGTCAATGATGGTCTTCTGGACAGCAGTCAGATCAGCAGTCTTCCCTATACTTGTGATTTAGTTTACTGAACCAAGCGTGTTTTTCAAGGCTAAGGGAACCCTTGCTGGTGTTTCGAGTAAATTAGACGATTCAAGTGATTAGTTGAATAGCCTACTAGTATACTTTTTCACGATATTCTAATATTTTGAGATAGGATATTTGGGTTTCTTAAGCTGTAAGCCATAATCAGCGATATTAAAACAATAAAAGGCTTGCGATATTTCAGTTGTTTTGTAATGAATCCAGAATGTATGACATTTCATGATTTTTAATTGCATTACAGAAAATAAAGAACCTTATCACAATATGCTAATTTTCTGACACAGTCCTGTAAATAAAATAACTGCGTCATTATCAAGACTCTAAAAAAAAACTAAACTCATCCTACTGAGATCAAGGCCATTTCTTAACATGAGTAATGGTGCGTTATAATGTGCTTGTGTGCTCTTGAAACATCATCAGCCTCAATCCAATCCAATCCACTTTATTTATATAGCACATTAAACAACAGAAAAAGTTTCCAATGTGCTGTACATATCAAATAATAAACAACAACACAACAATACATAAACACAATACAACAGTAAATAAACTAAAAAGGACACAGAGGACCACTGTGAAGTAGTTTGGTCGAGGGTCAAAAAGGTGAACCAAAAAAAGTCTAAACAGAGAAACAAGAATAAGCTTAATCTAATTTACAAACCCATCTACATAAAGAAAGAGTCTGCAAAATAAACAGTGTGAAACAAGATAACTCAAAAAGTTACTTTAAATAAAAACAAACAAAGCATAACTAAAGGAAACCCTCTAAATGGTAGAATCCAGCAAATTAATGGATGACATAATTTAGTCAATTTAGCAGGCAATACTTAAATAATGGTAAGTAAAAAGGAAAACAAAAACCATGAATATACTTTGAAACATAATAAACAGTTTAATCCAATAATCCTGAAGTAATAGTTTTAACCTAAGCATAAGTAGATGGAAACTGCAACATAATGCTAACACAAACAAACCCGGGATAGTAAGTGAAAGTCAAAGTTGCAAACTAATGTTTAAAGTTAAGCATTACAAATCAGAAACAAGAATAAGGGACAAGTGGTAAACACAAACTAAACCACTTTGTCACAACCACACAAACTACACAGTATTAAAAGCCAAAGAGTAAAAGTGGGTCTTAAGACGAGACTTAAAACACTCCACCATAGAGGCAGTCCGTATATGGAGGGACAAAGTTGGCCCCAAAGTCTGGGGCCAACTACAGAAAAGGCTCTGTCCCCTCTGGTTTTAAGCCTCGTCTTAGGCACTATTAACTAAAGATGGCCCTCAGACCTCAGAGCACGTGCCGCAGAATAAATCTGGAGGAGGTCAGTTATGTATAGAGGAGTCATCCATTTCAGGGCTCTAAACACAAACAATAAAATCTTAAAATAAATTCTAAAATGAACAGGGAGCCAGTGCAAAGACGCAAGAACTGGTGTAATGTGTTGATGTTTTCTGGTCCCTGTTAAAAGATGAGCCGCTGCATTTTGTACTGTTCTATTTCACAAGAACATTAGACCAAGAACAGAAAAGGTCCCTGGATGTTGATCCTGTCCATCGCTCTTTACAAAACATAAATCAGAGAAGACTTGCACCAGCATGCACCATGGCAGCAGTTTTTAAGATTTAAGATTATTTGAGGCGCAAACATTATACTTTAAGCTTCACTATATGGCCGATTTACTGATTTAGTGTGTAATTTAAAAATGTTCCATTACTACTTATATTTCTTGAGATGCAGCTGCCTCAGCCTCAGCTTCCAATCTCTTGGTTGTTTGTGAACTACCTTTAGACCTTCTAGATTTTGACCTTGATGTCGTATTTTCAGATCCGAAGCATGACCCAATATCTGGCCAAGGCTCTTTGAAAAAAGTTGTTTCTCAGCTCTTCTGACCATGAATGCAGAAAGTGATGTACATGCAATGACTTTACGGCTTGCTTCTGTATTTGTATCTGAGTTTGTATTTGCCGTATTTCTTCATAAATGGTTTGCATATCTCTGCAGGTGACATTTACATTGTTAATCAGCTCCTTTAATTCACTGACTTTTGTCGCTTGTGTGGTGAGTGGTTTGAATGTTAATGTAGGGGAGGGATTAGATCTCCGAAGGGGGGGTGGAGGGTGGTGATAGAGGGAAGAGGACTTTAGAATTGCTTCGGGTCTGGCTCCCTGTCACGGTCCTGGTCCGTGCCGTCCCCTGGTGGGGCTTCGTCCAAGGTGGGGGCTATGCGTGTTGCGCGTGGGCTGGCCGGTACTTTATATATTAACAATCCCACGTACCACACCTGGTTTCTGTTAATACTCAGAGATAAAACACCTGACCTCCTTTAACATACAGAGGAATCACACCTGACCTCTGACCTACATACCATAATGACTAAAATGTGACTAAGACTAATAATAGTTTTAGTCATAAAGAACAAGAGCAAATCTAAGATGCCTGTCAAAAACAACACTGGCTGAAACCTGAGTCCACCCCCTCTGTTTAAGGTTTGTTTTTCTTTCTGAACATAATAGAGATATAGGAATTCTCTGATCTTTATATTGGAGAAACAAAACAACCTCTCCACAGACTCATGGATCAACACAGAAGAGCTACCTCCTCCAGACAGGACTCTGCTGTCAACTTGCACTTTAAGGACCTTGAGGACCAGGATGTTCACAATTTGGACAAAGAAGACAGGTGGTTTGAAAGAGGTGTGGAAGGAAGACATTTATGTTAAGAAAGAAAAACCATGCACTGAACAAAACAGCTTACCTGGGCAGCCAAGCCAAGTATTACCTTTAACGACTCTCCTTTCAGAGTCTTAGCCCAGTACCGGGTATTGCAGGCTAACAAAGAAACCAAAACCACTTCCCATTCCTAAGGGATAGACCAGTTCTTCTAGTTCAATTTGCATCTTTTCTTAGTCAAAACAAGTTTTTGGGCTACTATATAAAACTTTGAACTAAACGCTCATTCTTACATTTTGAATTGAAAAAGGTTCCTGGATAGGAAGCGAAACGTCTTCAAACTTGAAAACAAGTCAAGTGGATTGTTTTTTAACTTTTTTGGAATTAAATCAAGATTGGCATTATATTAAAACTATTTTTGGTCATTAAAGTTACTTTTAAAGTATCAGTTCTTTTTCACTTATCTTTAGGAAGACCTTCTGAAAACAAGCCTGAGCAAGACTACTCCTAAGCAGAAGAAAACTGTCTACACAAGTTTGATAAGGACAATTGAAAAATCCATGCAAGACTGCTACAAAAGTAAGAAAAAGATATAAAGTAGTTAAAATTCTAAATATATATTTATTATTTTTACTAACACTTCATTCTTCATTCTCCAGAAGCAGTAGTATTTTCAGGCTCTGGAACACTGCAGAACATGCGGGAAACTATTAAGAAACATGTATTTGGTTTAAAGAACAACATGTTTGAACATGCTAAAATAGTTATGCACATCGAACTGCATGACTTAATGGTTAGTTATATTCAACAAGTTTAATATAAATGACACAACCTATTACACTGCTACATGACGATCCATACCACGCTGTGGAAAACTACAGCCTTCTGTTTCTTGTCTGCTTCTTCTTGTTTCTTAATTTGTCTAAGGGCATTATCACCTGCTGTTAAAATCTATTTACAAAGAAATATTAACCAGTCAGTAAAAATGTGCTTCAAATTCATTAATAGTTTTGGGCAAACTATGACACCAATCATGTCTTTGTTTGAATAATGTTTGAGTGCACCAAGATATAAATACTTTAATACTTAATGAGGAGGAAATTCTCAGAAGACTAGAACGTACCATGAAAGAAGCTACTGAGGTCTCGGGACTGATTTTCAGTCAATTCCATTAAAGTTTCAGTTTTTAAAACAAAATGCCTTTTTAAAAGAAAAAACATATAGAAACTGTGTTCCTAGATATTTCAGTAGAGTTTGAACTGGTACAAAGACTCTGGGCTGGATTTATCAAGATCCAATTTTGCGTGCAGTAATTTGCGCTCGCAAACTGGAATTTTGCGCGAGGGGCTGAACCATGGTTTGCGGGTGATTTAACAAGAGCGATTGCGTAACTGGTGGCAGGTGCAAAACTGTTGGAGACACCCTATTTAAATAGGGAGGGGGCACAGTAGATGAGATGCCTCTGACCAGCATTGAGGAACAAGTACAGCTGACGCTCTGTGAGGAGCAAATCACTGGAATTGCAGCTCCAAAATGGCAATGCTGGATAAACGATATGTTTTGATCGTTTCCTCGTTCATTCCAAAAATATTCACACGGAGTGAAAAACTGCGTTCTCTGCGTCTCCTTGCTTCATTTCAATGTCTCCTTCTTGCGGCAATAACCGCTGCCATGTGTGCGCAATTACGCATACAGACCATTTGCACCTTCTTTTGAAACGTGTTAAATATAGAGTCAGATACCGTTAGCAAAATTGCTTTCAGGTTTCATAAATCACTTTGCGAGTGCTAAATTAATATATTTACATGTTCTCCTCCCACAAGACGCACTTTTGCGTATAAACGCCCCATATTGCATATTCATTGCAGAAAAAGTACTAAATGGATAAGAGGCGCTATTTAGCACGTTTTAAAGACCAAATCCTTTTAGCACGCTGTTGATAGATCAGTTTGTACATTTTTTAGCGTGCGCAGTGAAATAGCTCACGTTTTTATACACGCAAACCTTTGATAGATCCGGCCCTCTATGACGATCTGCTGCAAAACAGCCAGAATAGAGATCGCTTTTATGGTAAAGACCACAATAAATAATGTTTTTTTTTTTCTTATCGTTTAATGCAAAATTTTAGGTTTTATATGCTGCTTTCTATTCAACAGCTACATTTATTAGTGGGATTCATCACGAGGACACATGCTGCATCTACATCCATTAGACACAAAAACTTCTCCATGAAGAAAAAGTAAAGATGAGCTAAACTTGTTTTGCCAATATGTTATTTCTTCAGGTTGTATCATAGCCATTTAGATCTGTTTGCTCTTTGGGTGTCATTTGCAACTGTTTTTCATTTTGTCTAAAGAAAGTTAGAAAGTGAAACTAGAATTGCAAATCAGTCTGGTTAGATTCAAGATCATGTCTTAGTGCTTTAAACTAAATTATGGAAGAAATGTATGTTATGTTTCTTTCTTTTCAGTATTAGATTAAATAAGTTGTATCAAGTTTAAGCAGAAGCAGGGTAATCAACTCTTTATTTTGAAAGTTGATTTTAAATAAGCTTTGCATTTACTGATAAAATCAGTCATATATTTAGCATATTTAATACAATCAAATGTTAGTCTCAAAAGAAGAGAGTGAACTTATTAATGGATGGGCTTACATGTGAAAAATGTACAAACTGTGGGTTATTTCTGTTTTTCTTTTAGAAAAACACTAAATTTCTATGGTTGCTTATTTTGTATGCTGTAAACCTGATAGATGATTAATATAATCTAATGTCACTCAAAAGACAAATTTAAATGTAGATTCTTTGTTATAGTGTGCTGGGGTTTACTTTAGATTTTTTTTTATAATTCCCTTTTTTTAGATGAATTTATAATGATATGTATTTTACACTTTCCAGCATAAAGATCTGATATTAACATCAACTGAACCATGCAGAAAGGCTGGGAAGTTCTCCATGTACCTTTACCCGAACAAAGACAGAAAAGTTGGAAATAACATACAATATTAACCAGTCAGTAAAAATGGGCTTTAAATTCATTGAGCAGTTTGGAAAGAGGTTTTGAGCAAACTATGACACTTCTTCTTCTTCTCTTCTATTATGGCGGATCACAAGCAACTTTAAGGTGCATACCGCCACCTACTGTACATGAGTGTGAAGCAGCGTTACTTCACATCTATTAGATTCTATTTTTTAATTTTGTATTCTTAAGATACATAAACAATGCT